TATAGATCTCTCTATCTCTCTATCTCTCTCTCTCTCTCTCTCTCTCTCTCTCTCTCTCTCTCTCTCTCATTATTGTGATGGGGGGCCCTGCAGTAAGTCATAGCCCCGGGGCCCAGTGCGGTCTTAATGCGGCCCTGAGTCAAACATACTCTGGACCAACAACAAAAGTAATTTTCAAAGTTGCTTGTAAATCCATTAGGGAAATAGAAGAGCATTCAATCTGAAGATTACACTCTTACACCTTTGTCCTCATGTTCTAGTTCTCAGTTTTAATGTCCACATTCCTAAATCTGATCTGAGTTCAAACGAGGAAACCTGGCTTGCTGCACTCTTCTCCATAATGCAAATATTCCCAGATCAGCACTCAAGAGAATCAAATATAATACATTTTGTTCTCCATGAGAGATACTTTTATGGTATGGGGCGTGTCTATTACAGGGAAAAATGAGGTGATTTTCACATTTTTCTTTTTTGCAGTGTCCCGCTGAGAATTTCATCTTGTGCAGGAGGACAGACTATCATTCCGGCAAATAGCATCACGAAGGCCAAACTTTTAAAGGACATGTGTTACTGGTAGAGGACACGAAATATAATGTAATAAGAAAATGTGGCCAATGTTTGTGCCCCCTCTGTCCCTTGCAGCTATGGCAATTAAGTAAATGTTTAAGCATAAAGCACAATATATGATGAATCAGTCATATGAATCAGCTAAAAGTGACCCAGCCAATTTGTCTATAGAAGCATTCAGTGCTTCATGTGGAAGGAAAAAAGGAGGTACACTCCTACTGAACTCTGTTTTTTTTTTAATAAATGATACTTTGCTTTTATTCACATGTTTATTTAAAAAAAAGAATACATTCAGGGGTTTATACCTATATGATTAAAGGTCCACGGGTTAATGAAGAAGGGTTTGGTCACTCACTAGTCACTACATATTCTTAATGGACACAAACACAGTGGAGGTGCAAGCATTTCTGCCATCACCTTGATGTTGAAGAGGGTGAAGCTTAAGTGCTTCTGTGGGAGCCTGCTCTTTTTCTTACCAAGATGCACAAGATTCCCATATGCATGTGAACATATGCATATGCAACATTCAATTTCAATCTCAGTTGCTGCGACTGTGAAATGAAGTGAAATAAACTTTCTCATTTAGTGCACGGTGGGTAAAAAAGTTCAAAGCATTCAACAATGCAACCACCTGCTATTAATTCGAATTCAGGTCACAATGAATGGGTACAGTCACAGTATAGCTCATACATGAAAAATTAAAGGACATCATTAAATGAATCTTAATTTAACCAATATCACGCAAGCAAATGTGCTGTTGTGTTGACATTCAGACCAACAGCACATTTATATGACACTGCTTTCCCAACATTTAAATAAACAAGAAATTAATATTAAGTTACTTTTAAGCACAGTATTGACACTTATTTTGTCTATTTTGCCAAGCAAAACCACATAATTCTTCTCAAGAAACAGCAGTTGTGTGTTAATTCCTGAATTAATCAGCATGTTTGAACAAAACGGTTAAGATTCGCTCACAAAGACAGGGTGCATCCTAAATCATATAATCTCTGAGCAGGTTCTTCTTCTGAATAAGTAAAAAATATGTTCTATATAGAACAAAGTGAATTTAATCCAGACGCTCTGACATCCGGACATTTGCCATGTCATTGTCATGTGACCTACCAGTTAGTTAGTTGTGTGGCTTCCCCATGGGATTGTAAAGTGTCCTTTAGATGTTCAATTCAATTCAATTCAATTCAATTCAAGTTTATTTGTATAGCGCTTTTCACGATACAAATCATTGCAAAGCAAATTTACAGCAAATTAAGTTTCTACAATATTTAGTGGTAGCTTATCAGCGGTGACTGTCAGTTAATGTACATATGGCAGAAATGCATGGAAAAATCAATTAAAGACTTAATCAATTAAAGACCTAATCAAACAGACGATGAACACTATTACCACCAATTATTATATGATGCAATCAAACTTATAGCAAAATTTGGTAGTTCTGTATGTTGAATTGGTCATCCAATCTTTTACATTAACAAACTCTCTTAGCTTAGATAATTTAGAAGTTTCATCTGGTCTTGTTGAGATATATAGTTGAGTATCATCAGCATAACAGTG